AAAGCTCAGATTTTGTTTTTTAATCTTGAACGTTGTCAGATTGAATGACTTACAATTATTTTTAATTTTCCATATTTTGTTGGTAAAATATAAACGAGATCAGTATATTTAAAGGGACTGTAAAATATAAACGAAATCAGTATATTTAAAGGGACTGTAAAATATAAACGAAATCAGTATATTTAAAGGGACTGTAAGCCTAATTTTAGAATTGTAGCCTTTAAACCTTTGACTGATCATGGAGGGCAGAGAACCCCAAGTGTATTTATCTTAAAATGATGTTTAAATGTCGAAAACTGGAGTGTACGCTAGAAGAACAGTGTGAATCTGAACTGGAGTGTACGCTAGAACTACAGTCTGAATCTGAACTGAAGTGTACGCTAGAAGTACATTGTGAATCTGAACTGGGATGTACGCTAGAAGTACAGTGTGAATCTGAACTGGAGTGTACGCTAGAAGAACAGTGTGAATCTAAACTGGAGTGTACGCTAGAAGTACACTGTGAATCTGAACTGGAGCGTACTCTAGAAGTACAGTGTGAATCTGAACTGAAGTGTACGCTAGAAGTACATTGTGAATCTGAACTGGAGTGTACGCTAGAAGTACATTGTGAATCTGATCGGGGGTGTACGCTAGAAGTACTGCAGTGTGAATCTGAACGCAGCTGACGTTACTTACCAATACTATCACAATTACTAATACCAAATAGTTAATGGTCAAAGCGGTTTTCTAAAATTCTAATTTAAATATTTATTTTCGGCGACTTTTAGAAAAAATATTAATATTTCTTAACAAAGTGTTACAGAATTACGAGCGGTTCAGTAGATAAATAAAGGATACAAGTCTGCACATCCTTGATCAGTCAAAGGTCCTGTTGTGAATTGGACACATCACTTTAAGAAATAAGAGACACTTGAAATTACGCCTACAGTCCCTTTAAGATATTTCCATACAGAATACAGAATGTAGATTTTCTAGATTTACAGGGATATCTTCTTTTATTGCAATGGTAATGTTTGCGACAACCAGTAACATTCTTCAAGAGTTTTGCATTCAACAAAATTATATTTGATAAATATTGGTTTTTCCAATCTTAATATATCCCTTCATATCATACCACTCTAATATAAATGTTTTTAAAACACCCTACCCTTCTTAATATCAATATTTATGGAACATCCTACCCTTCTTGATATTAATGTTTATTAAACACCCTACCCTTCTTAATATCAATGTTTATGAAACATCCTACCCTTCTTAACATCAATGTTTATGAAACACCCTACCCTTCTTAATATCAATGTTTATGAAACACCCTACCCTTCTTAATATCAATGTTTATGAAACACCCTACCCTTCTTAATATCAATGTTTATGAAACACCCTACCCATCTCTAGGTACTCTGAAGGTTCCTCTGTGCTAGAGTTACCACCCTGAGTAAGGTTGAAGTGTCCTACTCCCGTCCTCTGAGTATTAAACAAAATAGAAGAACTCTGCAGTCCAGGGATATTATTATAATGTCCAACCACACCATACACTGGAGGTTCATCATGTTCCTTTGGATGGGTGCAGATCTGTCCTGTGGTATTGGAGCACTGCTCCCCTGTACTACTGGAGCAGATCTGATGGTTCGGCTCCCTACGTTGCATCTCCATATATATACTATCTGTAGAACTTCTCAGATTATCTGAAATATTTTCAATCAACAAATATATTTTCGAACAAATTTTATAAATATTTGAGACATATTCTTTATTTTCGGAGATTTTACTTCATCAATTTGTCGTTGAAAAATTTGTCTATTTTATAATATTTTTTTTCTTTTTTTTTTTCTTAGAGTTTATTAAAGTTAATAGAAACAGCACCTTTCAAGTTTGATCTTTGCAAAGAATAATACAAAGTGAAGGTTTCCATTTTGCAAAATTTAATTCACATTGCAGAATTAGTTTTGCACGAGTTCTCTTCGGATAGAAACAGAAGTTTTAACATTTGAAGATGGTTTTATTAGTTTTGCTGCGATATCTTTGCAAATATTTTAGGATTTTAAAGAAAACATTTTCCTCACAAAAGAATATTAAACTAGCTCAATCTTTTATCTCGTAAAGATTGTTTTTATATTCTAAAATTTGAAAAATTAAATCCATTAAATCTTTTGGAAGCAACAATTAATTTTGAGGGGTATGGGTTTACAACGGTACAATACTGTTGAAGAAATATTTTCTGACATTTTTCTTTTAATTATGTCAATTTAAAGATTCAAAGAAAAATCACAATTGAAAATAATCTTTGCATTATCCATTGGATAAAGCCTTTAAAGGGACTGTAAGCTTAATTTCAAGGCACCCTCCATGTAAAGATGACATTGCCCGATTAACAATGGTAGCCTTAACAGCTTTGTCTAGTCAAGTATGAATAGTATATTTATGTTTATAATTTTGAAAGTTGATATCATCAGAATGTTGAACTTATAAACTTAGAAACACGACAATATCTTCCATATTATTGATCAGATAAATATTTCCAGGGTACCGTTGTAAATCGGACATTGTCGTTTTTGCACGTATGGTCACTTGAAATTAGTTTCTTTAAGGGTACCGTAGTGAGTCCTACATGACACTCTCCAAACATAGAGTCCCTTGAAATTACATTTACAGTCCCTTTAAGTTGAGATTATTTGTTGAAATCAATTATTGCAGGGAAAGAAACTTCTAAACCGTGCTTTGGCCCAGACCTGACACTGAGGGACAGGTTTGGAACATAAGCACGGTTTGGACATTTTCCCTCTGTATTGAATCTAAAACCGGTTTTTTCCCGCCTGTAATTTATCTCTGTTCAAAAAGATATCTCGGAAAACGTTGTCAGTGGTATCTTTCTTTAACAAAGAGTAATGATATTGAGTCTTGAAGAAAAGCTAAATTGAACCCGATTCTGTGAAACCATCACTAGACCTGAAAATTAATTACGTATCTCTTGAACTTAAACCTGAAGAAACCATACTAAACCTGTAAGCTCAAATTCTAAGCCTGCAAACTAAACCTATAGAAAAAGTAACTATTAACATAAACCTGTAAACTAAACCTAAACCGCTAAACTAATCCTAAACCTGTAAACTGAACCTAAACCGCTAAACTAATCCTAAACCTGTAAACTAAACATAAACATATAAACCTGCAAAATAAATCTAAACCAATAAACTAAACCTGAACCTGTAAACTACTCCTAAACCTGTAAACTAAACCTAAACCTGTAAACTAAACTTTAACCTGTAAACTAACCTTAATCTTTAAACTAATCCTGAACCTGTAAACTTACCCAAATTTTTATACTAAATCTAAACCTGTAAACTAAACCTAAACTTGTAAACTAAACCTAAACTTGTAAGCTAAACCTAAACCTTTAAACTAAACTTTAATCTGTAAACTAAACCTAAACCTGTAAACTGAGCCTGAACCTGTATACTAAACTTGAACATGTAAACTAATTCTAAACTTGTAAAATAAACCTGAACCTGCAAACTAATCCTAAACCTGTAAACTAAACCTAAACCTGTAAACTAAACCTAAACCTGTAAACTAAACCTGAACCTGTAAACTAAGCCTGAAACTGTAAACTAATCCTGAACCTGTAAACTATACCTGAAATTGTAAACTAATCCTGAACCTGTAAACTAAACCTAAATCTGTAAACCAAACCTAAGCCTGTAAACTGAACCTGAACCTGTAAACTAATTCTAAACCTGTAAACTAAATCTGAACCGGTAAACTGAACCTGAACCTGTAACCTAACCTAAACCTGTAATCTAATCCTGAACCTGCAAAGGAAACCTAAATCTGCAAACAAAACCTGAACCTGTAAACTAATTCTAAACCTGTAAACTAAACCTAAACCTGTAAACTGAAGATTAACCTGTAAACTAAACCTGAACCTATAAGTTAATCCTAAACCTGTAAATGAAACCTAAATCTGTAAACTAAACCTGAACCTGTAAACTAAACCTGAACCTGTAAACTAAACCTAAACCTGTAAACTAAACCTAAACCTGTAAACTAAGCCTGAACCTGAGTTGAAACTAAACCAAATCTTCTTAATAATATCACAAAGAGTAAACTTTTAATTATGTTATTGAAGTTTTAAGTAAACAATAAACATCTAAAGTAAATATATATAATTATATGTATATATATATGTGTATATAATTTTATATATTTATATTGCGTAAAGTAGAACATGAGGCCCTTCCCTTCCTCTTATTATTTATCTCTCTAAGTGAAAGAAAAATACAAATTTTGAGTGTTACCGTTTTACTTTAGGATTTTCTTGAAAAGGATGAACCCTGGCAACAACAGATGTTTTTGTTTACAAAGATCGAATCAAAAGAAAAATTTATAAAATTGTATACGTTTCTACAAAATTTTCAAACACTTTTTTAAAAATCAATATTGTTTCCTGAACTGTTTTTAACTTTTAAATCCTCTTTTCATTTAATGTAAATAATGTAATATAAAAAAATAGCAAATCAGGAAAATTTATCTACGGGTATATTGAAAACCCCCAAAATAATGAGATAGACAAGGACACAGACGGATGCTTTGTTAAAGAAATATACAAATTTACAGAGAAAAAGACTAGGTCACAGGGACAAATGGAAAAGGGAAGAGACAAATAAAAAATCATCATGGCCGAATAGAGAAAAAAAGAAAAAAACATGCCGAGCAAAGACAAATAGAAAAAGCAAGACGGATCATAAAAAAAACATGGCCGAGAATAGACAACTAAAAAATCATGGCTGATCATAGACAAATAGAAAAAAAATGGCCTAACACTCAGAGACAAGTAAAAAAAACACATTGCTGAGCATTGACAAATATAGAAAAAAACATTGCTGAGCATTGACAAATATAGAAAAAAAACATTGCTGAGCATAGACAAATATAGAAAAAAACATTGCTGAGTACATGTATCCTAAACTCACCCAACGTTTCTCAAATTCAACCAAAGTCTTTCTATGCATGTCCCAAAAATGTCCATCGTTTCTCAAATTGAAAATAATCACCTTTCAAGATTATTAGAACTTAATCCGTCCGTGGTAGAACTCCGTGGTATAGAATGGAACCTTCTTGTACTCGCCCTAGAGCTAGATCTTGGAGCTGTATCCGTCATAGTTCCAGTAGCTCCAGGAGCTCCTCCAGGTACTGGAGTTAGTACTCGCCTTGGAGAATTTAACCTAGAGAGAGAGAGACCAGTTTACGTCAAGAATATAATTTGTTAGAAAATATAATTTCATTTTTAGAAAAGGAAAATATATTTAACGTGTGGTATATTTAATGTGGGGGCGCATTACTGCAGATACAATACTAATGATCCGTTCCATCCAATCTCATCCAACATTTTTAACCTGGATATCATCAATCTATTCATCAATCCATCTTATTCAATTCATTCTTATTCTGGATATTATCAATCCATTCCGTTCAATCCATTCTATCCAATCCGTTCTTAGCCTGGATATCATATATCTATCAATATATTCATCGTACATTTCATCCAATCCCTTCTTAACCTGGATATCATCAATCTATCCATTAATCCATCCATGTCAATCCATTCTTAACCTGGATATCACCAATCTATCCATCTATACATTCCATCCAATCCATTCTTAACCTGGATATATTCAATCAATACATCAATCCATTCCATCAAGTTCATTCTTATCCTGAACATCATCAATATATTCATCAATCCAATCTCATCAAACATCCATGAATTCAATAATCCATTCCATGTATCCAATACCATCCAGTTTAAAACTTTAAACCTTGATATCATAAACACATCATTCTTATATCAAATTCCATTCAGCATAGCTAGATGACATCCATCAATCCATTAATTGAATTAGATCCTTATTAATAAAGAGGTTTCGCTTTTTATCGCCGGCTAATTTTTTTTCAGATTGAACTGTTGACATTGTTTTACCTGAACGTAAACATAGAGTCGGATCCCCTGAAACTGGTTTTTCGAATTCTCGCTGTTCTTTGTGTGCTTGGGGTGCACAGTGGGGATTGAAGCGTGCTCGGGGTGCGCTGTGGCGTGCAGAGGGGTGAGGAGGCAGTGTGGAGAGGTGAGAATGCTTTTAAAGAAGCAGGAGTGTGCAAGGGGGACCGCCCACTAAATATTATTCAGATTTGTCAAATATTCATAACAATTGAAAAAATATAAAAAAAAGTTTCAAGCTAATACTTAATAATAAAAAGTTTTTCGAACATGTATGGTCGAACTTAATATCTTAATAATCTTTATTTTAGTTTTTGGTCTAAAAATACGTTTTAGTTTGATCAAAAACATGGTAACAATATTGATCAAGCCAATTCCTCTTAGTAAGAAATTTTAATTTTTAATTTATTAAACTTAACTTTAATTAATACAGGGTAACCCCAAAGGATGAGACTGCTAAGACGACTACAAATTTTTAAAATATGACGGTCCCAAGTTTAAATTAAGTTTTTTGCCTCAAATAGAGTATTTATTATTTATTGAATTGGCAAAGAAAAACCAAGTTTACAGTTGCAGGAAATCATGTACAAAAAAATTACAGTAGTAAAATATGATTCTTCCAATAGTATTTCTATTTTATTTTGTTATTCTTTACTAAGATACAGTTAATTGGGCAATAAAACTATAGAATAGGAAGACAACTGTTAAACTTCATTTCAATTATGCACTGTGCAAGACTAATTTTACTGAATTAGTTGATTCTCCAGCTACAAGATTAATGACATCATCAAATACACATTAGATTGCTATATGAGTCCCACCTGAATGAAACAGGTGTAATAAGGCCGTCACTGCTCTGCCAGCCGGTCAACTGAACATCACTTCGTCGCCACTCTATCATTAAACCAGCAGGTTACAAACATAATAAGGGACTGCCAGCGTAATTTTATGTGACCCTGCATTCAAAGATGATGAAATCCAACTTACAACGGCCCCCGGCCTTGAAACCTTAATCTGATAAAACATCTATATCTTTGCAACTCGATGTCGTAGACCTTTGGTATTTCAAAATATGAATTATGTAAAATTTAAAAGTCTAAGTTGGAAAAGCCAAAGGTTTACACCATCAGGTTGCAAAGCAGTGCTTAGGATCCGGATCCGTTGGATCCGCAAGATTTTGGCTTTCTGGATCCGGATCAGGATCCGCAAAAATATGCGGATCCACGGATTCGGATCCAAGGGGTAAAATATCAACCAAAAACTGCAAAAAAAAACCAGTTTTACTCCTAAACTCAAATCTGTTTTTTTTTGAAAAAAGAGAGATTATAAAAATTTACTTATTTTTGAATGGTTCATCAAGATGCAGGATAAAAATAAGCAAAAAAAGTAAAACAAAAAATTCGAATATTATTTTTTGTTAAAAAAATTCAGTAAATCTTAAATAAATCCGGATCCGGATCCGGATCCGCATCAAAATCAAATGGATCCTAAGCGCTGTTGCAAAGATATAGTAATAAGAACATTTAAGTTTGTGGCAAAACTAGGGTTCTTTTTCCTATCAGAAAGGAACTGAGTTTTTGCCACAAACTCAAATATTCTTATCCTTATATCTTGGCAACCCAATGTCGTAGACCTTAGATATTTCAAACTATTAATTCTGTTAGAT